CGGCACCTCGTTAAATGCCTGGGATGCCAAGTAGTTGGTAGATCCAAACAGGTTCTCATATGGTGCCAGTATCCGAATGTTAAATTTGAGGCACTGTGTGCAAGCAGACGCAAGCGGATTGGTGATAACCTGTGGCAGCAATGGCATGTTCGCACCAGGGCTACTGTTGTCGTCATCATCGTCGTCGTTAACAGGGTGAGCAGAAGTCTTTGCAGGCTCCGCGGTAAGTCTGCTAAAGTCCACTGAAGTCGGCACCGAAAGAATGGACTTTGTTGTCGATGTACTAGTTGTGGCTGGTGTAGGAGTAGGTATTTCTGGCTCACTTGTAGGCAGAACAGATGTTGGCGTTACTGGCTCTTCACTTGTAGTCGGCTCAAAAGTTGGGGATTCCGGTTCCGCGCTCTCAGTAGGCTCAAACGTTGGAGATTCTGGGGTTTCGCTCTCAGTAGGCTTAAATGTTGGTGACTCCGGTTCCTCACTCTCGGTAGGCTTAAATGTTGGTGACTCCGGTTCCTCACTCTCGGTAGGCTTAAATGTTGGCGACTCTGGTTTCTCGCTCTCAGTCGGTTTAAAAGTTGGTGACTCTGGAGTTTTGCTTTCAGTCGGTTCAGGCCCAGGCTTTGATCCAACAAATGTGTCAGAGTCCGAATCATAGTCCGACTCTTCTGGTTCTTCGAAGCTCGAGAGCTCCGTGGGAGTCACAGTGACTATCGGGCTTGAATCTACATCATTGTCATCAGATATCAAGGTAATGGGCATGGTGGTGAAGGTGGGTAATAAGGTGGAGGTGTGGTTGGTGGTGGTGGGTGGTGGTGTTTTGGTGTAGGTAATGTCACTTGTGGATGCGCTAGCCTCTTCATCACGGCTATTATCCGAACTTTCTTCAGTAGAACTAAAAGTCCATTCTGGTAAAGTCTCAACACCAGATGTAAAGACACTGCTGGATAGCTCTTCGTCATCATCTGAAGATAAAGTGACTTCGAATTGGCTAGACTCGTCAGAATCCGTAGCAGTTGGAAGCCAGGATGGGCTAGTAGTGGGTGTGATGATGGAAGTAGGAGTGGTGGTGATAGTGTTGGAAATAGGAGTGGTAGTGGTGGCAAGGGTAGAAGTAGAAGTGGTGGTGGCAAGAGTGGAAGTAAGAATGGTGGTAGGAGTGGGTGTGAATGTTTCTACGGACGTCTCCCAGGTGGTGGTAGGGGTGAATCTGGTTGTGGTTGTGGACGTCTCTGCAGTTTGCTCCCAAGTGGTATCAAAGGAGGTGGGTGTAGATAACGTATCCTCATCACTAAACGACGGTATTATAGGAACCAAAGTCTGGGAGAAACCATCGCTCTCCTCCTCCTCCTCCGATTCTCTTGCTGTGGTATCCGTATAATCTGGAAAATTACCTTCAAAAGTGTCACTGTCGTCGTAACTGCTGTCGGATGGATCGAGCCAGCTAAATATTGGGTCGAGAAGACCCCCATTATCGCTCGTGGTTTCTTCCTCGGTATCATCCGGCAAACTAAACAGCGGCTCACTGCTTGTATCAAACATATCGCCAGTGTTGCTGTCGGACGGATCAAGCCAGCTAAATACAGGGTCAAGAAGGCCTCCATTATTGCTCGTAGTTGCCTCGCGAGTATCATCCGGCCAACTAGATTCTAGATCCCCAGTAGGTTGAAATATTTCGTCGGTGGTACTCTCATGAGGACCAGGTCCACCGATAATTGGGCCGAGTAGATCATCATCGTCGCTCGAAATAGTTTCCGCTGTGTCATCGGAACGGCCAATATCTTCATCAGTGCTGCTGTCATGAGGACCAAGTCCACCGAGAATTGGACCAAGTAGACCACCATCCGAGCTCTTAGTCTCCGCTGTGTCGTCGGAACGGCTAATGTCTTCGTCGGTGCTGCTGTGATGCGGGCCAAGACCTCCGAGAATCGGGCCAAGTAGACCACCATCCGAGCTTGTGATAATCTCCGTTGCATCTTCAGAACGACTGGTATCTTCGTCGGATGTGCTGTGATGTGGACCGAGCCCTCCAAGAATAGGCCCAAGTAGACCACCATCATCGCTAGTAGTTGCCTCGCGAGTATCATCCGACAGGTTAAACTCCGGATCCCCAGTCGGTTGCAATACGTCATCAGTGGTAGTCTCATGAGGACCAAGCCCACCAAGTATCGGGCCAAGTAGACCACCATCATCGCTCGTAATAGTCTCT